TCATGTCCGCCAAGTGCACCGAAAAATCGCAGTTTGAGCGCTTTAGTGAGGCCCAACAGGAAACCAAGTCGATGGCAGCATCAGAAAAGGATCAAGGACAGGCAAGCAAGGGTCCGCCTCTCTCTAAATCTCGCCGCAAAAAATGTTTGTGCCCCAAATACTTGAATTCCCTCACATAGAAAACAATTTGTGTTTAGTCGAGCATTTGAAGTGTAATAAATATATGTTAAAGCACTCAAGAAACTGATTTTTATTTAAATTCAAAATCTTTCTTTTCTTCAAATTGAAAGCGATCTGGTATAGTGAAGTTTTTATACAAATTCTTGAAGTAGATTATGTGTAATAAAAATATGTATGTGAAAACCAAAAAAAAAAAAAAAAAAAAATATTTCTCATGTAAAACTTTGTTATTTGCTTGCTGTTTCCTTTTTCTAATTTACATAGCATTTGATTTTTGACTTATTACAACTTATTCGAATTACGCACAAAGCCTTTTTGAAATTTAAAACTGTGCGCAATTGTTTGCACGTGTAATTTGCAACTTACAACCTTTTCTGAAATTATTTAATTTATTTATTTTATTTATTTATATGGAACACTTTATTTTTAGTCATTAACAGCCTTTTTCCAATTTTAACTCGAACAATTTAGCATTGCCAAAACCCTGCACGATAGGCATGCACTGTCATACCGGCATAAATTGCAGCTATCGCACGCAACAGCTGTTTTTTGTTATGGTTGGCAATAGCCAAACATCGATAACCGGCACACACAACGATAGTTCTAACGCTAGCGCTCTCTCTGCCGCTCTGTCTCTTTTTCTCTTTCTGCATTACGCTCATCGTGTTTTGCTCATTTGTAGTTGATTTGTTGCGGCGTTCGGTCGTGTGTGCTTGTTGCTGTCGTTTGTGTCGCGCGCGTGTGTAATTCCTTAATACAAAAATAATAAAGCAAATAATATGAGGTGCACGCAATTGTATTAATTAGCCCCGTAAACACAAAGTCAACAAAAGCCAAAGCGAAACTATTATAATCCAAACTAGTCAAAAACACAAATAAATAAAAAGAAAAACACACGCACAAACGCAGCGCCAGTAGCAGCAGCAGCAACAACTACAGAAAGAAGAACAACAACAATGGCCAGTGGCAACGATGCAGCCGCTGGGGATTCGGCCAGCGCCGTCTATGCAGAGCAACTGCAACAGGAGAAGGAGCATGAACGGGAACCGGAACCAAATGAACTAACCGCTGTGCCGCGCTACGGATTGAAACTGAAGTTCGATCACGTTTGGCCAGAGAAACGCAATCAGAATTTACGGCCATCGATAAAACAATCGCTGCCGATGGTTCCGCTTGTTTGCAGGTGAGTGAGTCAACGTCGCAGTTGACGTCGACGCAGCCGTCACCGTCGTGGTCGCTGCAGATGCTGACACGAGTGGACAGAGCTGAGTAAATAATTAATTTAAGGCACATAATGCGAAATCAATATTAGGCCTACGTATAAACACGGACAACAACAACAGGGCGAACACCAACTCACTCCCGATCCGTGCCCTTGCGTGCCAAATATAGCGTCAGGTCCTGGTCACACATACACAGCGAGAACACAAACACACATACACTTAAGCATACATCTACTCACACAAACAAATTTATTCATAAATTGAATACTTTCGGTGCGCTTGGCGCCAACGAAATTATATTAATTCGCCAAAAGCGAAGCCTTCGCTTTAGAGATGAGAGCTTAAAGCTATTTGGAGTATTGCTAATTATTGTAGAAAGAAAGCACGGAAAAGAAGAGATAGAGATAAATTTTGAGACTGAGCAAGATAAGAAAAATAAAATTTTTTTGATCAATTTGAGAGATACTCTGAATAATTAATTTACATATACAAACATTTGAATAAAATAAATTTATATTTAGTTATTAAAAAATTCCATTTTAACTTGAAGAAATTGCAAAAATTGTACTATTAAATAACGTAAATTGTATTTTTCAAATGATTTTGAACGCTGAAGAAAAAAATATATATTTTTTATAATAATTGACTGATTTCTTCTTATATATTAAATGTCTAAAAACAAAAAAAAAATATATAAACCATAATTGATTGATTTTCTTTTGTTACCAGGGCTATACAAAATAATTGTTAAGTTATTCTTTTAGTTGACGCTCTTGCCTTGTGTTAATGTCCTTATAAATAATAAATTAATAACATCAATAAATTAAATAAACTACACATAAAACTGAAAATCTAACAAAACATCTCCTGAAAACATTTGCATTTATTTCTATAAATGTGACGGTTCTTAACCCAGTTCCATCTCTAGCTAAAGGATAATTATAGGCATTGCCTGACTTGTCTTGCACTATAATCTTCATCTCAGTTTCGTTGCATTGTTGGCTTTTCTATTCTTAAGAATTGATTGCGCTGCGATATGCGCTGCTTCAAATTGAAATTGTGTCCTTTTGATAAGGACCTTATTAGCGCTCTCGCTCGCTCGCTCGCTCGCTGTACATAGCTAACACAGTTGACTTTGGCTTGTGGCATGCCCCATTTTGGCGGCGCCACAACTCAAATTGTTGCCTTTGTCGCGGCCCCTGTCGGCCGCCCCGCCCCGCCTCTCATCCTTTTTGTCTGCTTCACATTGGCGCCAACTTGGGCGCCCGCTAGCGTGTCCTGGCTACATTTATGGCAACAGAAATGGAAAGGGGGGAAACAAGAAGAGAAACCTGAATATGTGTTTGCATTCGCTCTTTTTTTCGTTTTTGCTCAGCTGTGGCCCTTTATGAAATGCCAGCTAGGCAATCAACGAAACGCGAACTACTAACTGACCTATCTGAAATACATACGCCTGCCCCAAATTCCACCCCAAATTCTCTAGCACCCTGCCTACCTCAACTGCGGACTACCTCAAACTCAGCCAGTGCAATGAACTCGCTTTTGTAACTTGCATTTGGCATCTAAATGTGGGTCAGCGCTGCAGCTTCTTAGGAACTATCCAAGGAGCTAGACAACATCTTATAAAACTTTGTACAGTGGACACTCGTTAAGTGAGAGGAAGATACTTTGGAGTTTAGCAACCAAACAAGGCATTTGACAACATCTGAACTTTGTTAAAGGACAATTTGTTTTTTTGTTTTTGATTTAATAATTAAATATTTTAAAGTAGTTAAATATTTTTAACCTATTTTTAACTAGAACCGAAAAAGGGGTGACCGAATTTGTTTAATATCAAAATAAGAACAGGAAAATCTATTAAAAATCTATTTCAAACTGACATTTTTAAAGCATTCTTTATGAATGAAAATGAGCACAAATCGAATATACCTATATATTTATAATTTCTATATTTCTATTTTTATGTCGATAAAACGTATTATCAAGAAATTGGAAATCTAAAAAGACATAAATTTTCCTATTTATGGTGCATTCTGCCTTTCATTTCCTATGATAAATTTAACTTATTTTTTTTATCACTAATCAAATAAAAATAAAACCATATAGCTCCAGTATATTTCCCCCTTAATTTTATTCCTCTTCGCTTGCCAGCTTTGAGGTGTTACCTATTCTTATCTCTAATTCAACAAAAACTTTTTACCTTCTCTTGTTGACATTATTATCGATAAAAAAAAAAAATAAATAAATAAATAAAAAACCTTATAAATAAAACTTATATGTTACCCTTTCGAATATTCGCCATTCATCGACTAGTATATTTTTTAGTGTTATGGGTCTATATGTATATAATATACATAGCGTGCATACATTTTTAAAGTCGTAAAATTATTCGCTTGTTAGTCATAGATATCAGAGCGTTGTATCATTTTCTGCTCTTATCTGGGAATGTGTAAAATACTATTATATTATTATTTTTTGTTCACCTTGTCGAGTATATGAAACATTTTAGTTGGTATTACTAATGCCAATCTTATCATATCTGGAGTGTACATTTTCATGTATAATCTGACTTGTTGCATGTGGATAGCCGTTTGAGCATGATACAGCTTTATTTTCGGCTATTTCTGAAGTATTATATTGACTTTGATAGGGCAACGGTTCTATATATGATGACATAAGAGCTCAGCACAGAAGAATGTATATACTAAATATATGATCAATATAAGTTACCTAATAAAATGTACAATGAAAAGTAGCTGCCTAGTAAAAATATATTATTATTGCTGTTTGCTTAATTTTTTGAAATAGACTCAAATCGAAGATGAGCCATATGTTCAGCATGTTCAAGTGAAATATCGCAAAGAGTACAGTAGAAATAGTTCGTGGAAAAATCAATATTTGCGTATATCAAATAACAATAATAATAAGAAAACAAGTAGTGTTACGATATAAAATGAAACTCCGAAGAATAAATTACTTTGCCCCAAAGCTGAGATTCTGAGAAACGTGTACTCTATGTTTCTATGTATTATAATAAAATAATCTTGAAAACATTTCACAGCTGTTCAATTTTTAAGTAAAAAAAAATGGAACTAAGATTAGAAATAGTTGTGCAAAGTGCGTATACCCTTGATGTGTAGGCACATTATTTACTCTATACATATGTATACTATAATACACATGCTGTCCAAGTACAGCTGGATTTTGATAAGCTCTAAGCAGCAAACCTCGAGCCAGCTGCATATACAGAGCGGATTCCATGTAACAATTCCGGCTGCTCTTTGTTATTTCACACAATCAAAGATAGCATCAATTTGTAGCCCAGGCGAATAACATGTGTGTTCGAGTTTGTCGCAATTTGTCGGTGTGCGCTGTGGGCGTCAGGACTTCCAGTGAATCCTACTTGATTCCTGATTCCTTCCTTGGCAACTTGTCACACATGAAACTGCCTGAGGCATGCAACCAGCCAAGCAATGTTTCCCATAGATCGTTCCCTCCCTCTGCTGTGCTGCAGCTCAATGAATTGTTGGCATGCGTTTAGTTTGTTGATTGATGTCATTTCGGATACCCTGTAAAATTGTTTTCATCGGCAATCTATTATTTTTGATGATTCTTCTTTATTTAATGGTATGATATCCATATGATATGATGCCCATAAAAATAAATTAAAACTTTTTCATTCATAATTTGTCGTATAACTTTATGTTCTTAAATTCAAATTTCCATTTTACGTGAACTTTATTCGTAGTATATTAGAATTAAGTATGTAATTCCTGAGGCATTCATTGTTGATCTCCAACATAATTAGACCTAGAATTATTTTGTGGGTATAAGTTATCTTCCATATAATATAAACTTCCATACAAATTTTATATTTTATTCATACTTTCTTTTATTCAACTTTATCGTAGTACAGTCTTGGTTCCTTAAGAAGCTTTCTGAAGATTTTAATTGTAGTTCTTTTATCCACTGTAACAAAAACAAAGAAATAAAAGAGTTTTACGATAACAACATTTTTTTCGTTTTCTCGAAATTATTTAAAAGTTTAGTAAATGAAAACGCGAAAAAGATTCTGAATAGATGTGATGTGTGCGTACTTTTATAAATTACTGCATGTGGTTAAATATTTTTTCTGTTAATTTCCACATTTATTTCAACTTAAAGCCAGTTAAGATTCATGCATCTATTGTAGAATAGTAAAAGTCCACAAATTCTAATGTTAATACTCCATTTCACATATGTACATATACACAATCACTAATAATAGTTCTCGTTTCCCAACTTAAGAACAAATTCCCTCCCAGGGCAACTTCTAGTCGAGTATGTCCAATCCTTAAAAACTTATCTTCCTTCATTTCATTCACTTCTCTTTTCCTCGCCCTGCACTCAAATGACATGCTCATCCAGGCATTCAGGCTGCAACTCCCAAAAGCACTTTCCTATATTGTTTTTCCATGCGAGGCTTTTCATCTTAGAAAACGTACAAATCTTTCATTCGTGTCTCCATAAAATGAAAGCAATTTTTATGCCTTTGGGGAGTTTTTTCTTCTGAAATTTTCCTTTTAGTTTTTTTATTTTTGCTGCCAACTTGTCACATTTTATTTATTTTTGGCTTTGGTAGGGAAGAATTTTCATTTACTTGCTCATTTATTGCTGTCTAGAATGTTGGAAAAATATGTTTTAGAATTCCTGGCTGCATTTTATTTTTATGGAATTGCGTAAAAATAACAGGAGAAATGTATTTGAATGAAAGATTTATTTTCGTTTTTGGCTGAGAATTTTATGAACGGAAATTTCAGTCGATGACTGCGAGAATTAGCTTGGAGTTCTTGTCTATTTAGTCAAAATAATGATTTATGAGACTTGTAATAGAAATACGTCAAAGTTTCTGATAAGAAATTCTGTGAATTAGCTGAGTGATGAGTTGAAATATTTATGATTCAATTAAGCTTAAAATATTTGATATATCAAATTTATCAACGCTCAATAATCGCTTACCAAATCTGTATATGTATGTATATATATAGCCATACCTATGTTTCTGTTTCCTAATTCAATTTGTCGTTTCCATTTGCAACTGTCCTGAGCTGACATGAAAATAGTCTTTTAATTGAATTGCCAGCTGGACTACCTCTAATAGGGCGAATGAATGAAAACTTTTCCTTCTTCTTCGCTCCCTCGGCCACAGTTGGGTGGCTCGTAGGTCAGCATTACCTTGCCTTGCAGGTAATTCGCAAAGGTGCAAACCCAATGCCTGCAGCAAGATTACAAATGAAGTAGGAAATATTGTTGCAATGTGCCCGGGTGGGCAGCTGAATGGAATGAAACTAGATGCCTGGCTGGGATGGCTGGCTAAGTGGATGAAATGGAATGAAATTCAATTATAACTTTGTAGTTTCTCGTTGCAGAACTGTGAACTAATAAAAGCATTACAACGTAGCTGACTTTTTACATTAGATTAAGTTAGTTAAAGCTATTAAATGATAAGCTGCAACTAGCAGAAGCGAGTGCGCTTGAGGCAGATGGGATCGACTCGATAGACTGAGCCAGATTATGAACTTTTGTAAATCCTGAAGCATCTTAAATATTTAATAAACAAATTTTCTAATACAATATTTACAATAAAAGATATAGCCATATATATATAGAGTCATATATGATCAAAAATCTTATCTAATTCAAGTTTCACTTTTAGAATAATTCAAACTTGGCGAAACTTCAAAAACTATTCTACAAGCATACCAAATCAAACCTTTGCGTTTATTATCATGAAGTATTTTTTTTTTTTAAACATAATTTCCGAATCTCTTCAGTCAATCAGTTAAAAGACCCAAGCAATTCATTAATACGAGCTACTTCTATTTTGTAATTTCGTATGTATTTCAATAATCCCGGTGAAAGCGTTGTGTGTGCGAATATTTATGGGAACAATTTCTCCCAATCGCTTGATATATGCGAATTTAGGTGAGTGGTGACCCAAAAGCTTCTGAATGAGAAGGCTGATTCATCGATCCATAACAAAATCAAATAAACAGATAACAGGATGAACCGTCATGAGAATATTGTGTGCAAGGGCTGCAGTAAGGTGGACTTTACGGGCCGCTGTTATCGTTGCCTGAGTTGCCAGGACTTTAATATGTGTGCGGAATGCTATGAAAATGATTTTACCACTGCTCAGCATCCATTCGATCATCCGGTCAAGTGTGTGTTCACGCCGGCCGACGTTGAGCTCTACTTTGGTGGGGAATATCTAAACGATCCGCCGCAGAGCTATCGATGCCCCTACTGCAAGCAATGGGGCTACAATGAGTCCACATTTCTGGAGCATGTCTCCGCCGAGCATGTGGGCGCCAGCACACTGCTGGTGTCCACCATGGTCACCCTATTCGAGCAACAGCAGGCGGTTCGCCTGTTTCTAGAGGACGAACAGCTGGCCGTATTTGCCTCGGCCGCAACGTCACGCAACGAACTGATGAACCGCAACGAGGGCTCGCTGGATCTCTTCCTGGAGCCACTCAATCCCAATGGCAGCTATCAGCGAGAGCATCCGATATCGCCGCTAACGTTTCGCGTTGCCAAGCCCGGCGCCGTCGAGGTGGCGCCCTGGGTTGCCGATGGCAGCACCCTGACGGCATCGAACAGTAACCACAACGTCGACAATAATTTTTTGATACCGGACCCAGTGCGTCGTCAGTCCCTATTGGATCGTGCCCGGCAGCGTCTCAGCTTCGATAGACCGCCGCTGCCGATGCAACAGCAGCAGCAGCCGCAGCATCAACAGCAGCAGCAACAGCAGCTTCATCATCATCATCAGCTGAGCGGCCATCCTACGCTCTCCGAGATGATGAGATACAATGAGCCGCTGCCCACCAGTCGCACCAGTCGCCCGGGCAATTTTCGCATGGTCGCCAATCAAGCGCCCAATCAGCCAACCAACGGTCGCACCATCAATCTCTTCGGGCACAATTCGGCGACGGAGAATATGCGACGTGCCTTCTATCCGCCCGGCGACATTACCCGGACGCGTGCCCAGCGACATCGAGCGCCGCGCATACAAATGGAAAGCTTCCCGACCAGCGGAGTGCGGCAGGTGCATATGCAGCGCTTGCGTGGCGGACCCGGCACGGGCCCGGCGCCGGGACCCAGTCCCGGCCAGCGTCTGGTCGAGTTCAGTGAGTTGACGCACGGCGCCAACGAGCTGCTGAACCAGAATATCGGCTCGGGTGCGGTCATGTTACGCACCATCGAGGAGGAGGAGCCACAGCCACAACAACAGCAGCAGCAGCAGCAGCAGCAACAACAGCCGACGGCTGAGGCCAAGCAATTGGAACAGGAGCGTGAACGTTATCTGTGCTATCCGTTCCTATCGGCCACATCGACTGCACCCTGTCCACCCGAGGAGCAGATCACATTCTTGGCCCAGCGCGCCGAGTTCGTGGCCCAGCTCCTAGCCTCGGTGCTCTGCGAGGAGGAACTGACCGGCGGCATGGGCGCCATGGGATCGGCTGACGACGACTCGCTGGACAAGCGCAGCGTAATTAAGCGATCGAATAGCGAATTTGTGGGCGCCGGCGACTCCAAGCTGGATCTCAAGCGTACTACATCATGCTAAAGCTCAAATCGACTCTCGTCCAGTTCTAATTCGTTTTGGTTCACTGTGGCAACAGCAGCAGCAGCAGCAGCAGCAAAAACTTTCGTTGATATTCTTTAACAAATTAACATGCACAACAAATTTTTGTAATTTCCCATTGTCCGATTTTTGGAGAGACCAGAGACCTCTTTATATATGTATATTTATTTATTTTTGACCATGCGGCCTTTAGGCGCGAGCTTTTAAAATTTGCAATTGTCGTGATTCCATTTGGGTCGTTCCATATGGACTTTTAACCAAATAGTAGTAGGATATATTTGACGTGATCTAATCGAACGCTGAATACTATAAGTGACTGTATACCAGATATTTCAAAATTAAATCGATAAGTTATCGATAAATTATTGTAACACAGCATCAGTATAAAAAAAATAAAATCGACAAGTCAAATGTGGACAAAGAAAAATTTAATGCGAGACTAATACTGCAACTGTATAATATCGATAAATATTTTTAAAATTTTAATGGGCTATTTCAACAGCTATTAAGAGAAATACCAATCGTATATCATCTCTTCTTCTCAATGGCGGAGAGATTGATTAATAGATTGATTTTCGATAAGTGAAATTTATAGATTTTTAGGAAACACTTCTTAAAGACGATCAACTTAATAAAAGTTCAGACCTAATCCTCGAGTGGGTATGACATCGATAATTTTTAAATTTTTATTTGCTCACAGATCATTGCAAATTTAGCTATTTAAGAACTGATTAAATTATTCGATACAATTTTTAAAATTATTTTATAAATGCAAAGTTAATATAAACACGAAGAAAACGATTATAGACTGTTATCGATAACATCAAATCATCGACTAATATAAAACGAAGAAAGCTACTGTAGGCTATTATTGATAACATTAAATCATTGATTAATATTGCTTAATTATTCTTGGTATTTAACATCGATTAATAATATCGATTTTATGTTATTGTTTTTAGTAATCGATAACATATTGATACTGTAGCCTATAGCTGTAGAACTAGCTTTACAGATATATTATCAAGCTCTTCATCATAATATAACATATAGAATATAAAATAATATAAAATAGATCAGGCCAAGTTTAAATGCGCCCATGTTGTTATAAAAGACCACGCCTTACAGTCCCACCTTTATACCAACTCAGCAACAACTCACCACGAAAAAGTGTCATTAGAGCCGCTGCCCACAATTCAAGCTCACATAAATAGCGTGCTTCTCGAGGGCCAATTAAAAAGTCAAATGCCTCGCGGCCTGAAAGTGGAATTTTCTTGGCAGCTCCGCCAACATTTTGAGATTGACCACATTCTCGGTGGTCGCTAAAGAGGACTCAGCAAATTATTTTGTAAATACAAAATGCAAAGTGAAAGAGAACATTTTCATGTATACATATATATAACGGGGGGATAATCTGTGAACAGAAATTTAATTTTTAAATTGAAAATAATTGAATAAATTGAAGCGCGTCTGAAATGGAAATCCCTTTGAGTCAATCAGACGTGCCATGCGCTGCAGAGGCGTTTTAAATGAGTTTTATCTCATGGGCTTATAGGTATTTGAGTTGTAGATATCTGTATGTGTATATCGAGATGCTGAGAATAATTCTGATTGCAAATGATTAAATTTAATGAATTCATTTAAGTTTATTTTTTATTATTATTGTTATAATGTTGTGTTTGACACGCATTAAGCCTTATTTTGTTTGCTATTATTCATGAGTGCTTATAAATATTCGATATGCAATAAACAATTGCTTATTAAGATTCAACACAGCTGCCCCTTAGTCAGCCAATAGGTATGTGTGTGTGTGTGTGTGTGTGTGTGTGTGTGTGTGTGGAGAGCTGTCACGCCTTGTCAAAAGCATAAGTGTGAAGGGTTTATCCAGAATGGAGGTAGCGAATTGAGTATCGGTATTCGTATAGCTAAATTGAGGAGAGCTTATAAAAAATAAACAAGCAGATGAGCACATTCCGTTTTCATAGAAGAACTTATCAAGCGGATAAATATACCAAGCGATTAAATAATTCATTTATTGCTAGTTGGTAACATGGAACTAGGCAAGCGCAAGTTCTATTAAAATGCCTTTGTTATGTGTTATAAGCCTAGACTTGTACTAGATTTTATCCAACTATCAATTTGACAAGTAAATTAACTGCCAGTTAAACTTGTCCAAAAGCCACGAAAATTTAGTTGTTCTAACATTGGACCTTGAAGAAAGACCCTGAGAAAATCGTATAAGATTATATTATAAGAGGTCTTTAACTTTTCAACATCATGTCAAATGTGTCATGAAGTTCCGAAGGAGTAATTTGCCAGTCGATTAGCTAAATCTTAGCTTTAGATACAGAAACAACAGTAAAGTGTTGTATGTAAGCGAGCTGACCGTTAAGTAAAACTTGGCTCTCGATTGACCACACTTATCATGTGTCGCAGCACCATTGTAGCTATAACACTAGGGCGGTTTCGTTCGTTCGTTCTCTTAGACACTTCCGCCTGGCAACCCAGCGCCATTGACCCTACAGCCACTTAGGCTTGGTTTCATGCACTTGAATTTCGCACCACCGAGAGAGTGACCTTCGGAAAGTTAGGTGGGCTTGGGTGAGCGTGGTTGGGTCGGGTTGGCATGTCTCAGTGACTAGCCCTGAATTCGATATATGTTTGTATGTATGTAGGCCACCCCAGTTTGGGGCTAGGCAAACATTTACGCAGTTTGTGACAT